AGTATTGGTCTTTTAATGCATGACTACAGATGTTATTTGAAATTGTAAAAACTACCTTAAAGCATTAAGCACACATTTTTTGAAAATCACATTTCAGGTCAAATGAGCATTTTTTTTTATTCTGAAGTTAGGATTAATTTTTGACTTAAGTATTGCATATTACTTTATTACTTTATTAGAACTTCAGCAGTTCATGATAGAATTTTAAGTAGTTAGATGAAAAATGTCACTCAACTTGTCCCTTATTCTTCATATTCTTAGGCTGACCCACTAAATGGGTCTGTGCTTTCATCTTTAAGATTTTTCTTATAATGTAACTGGTGACAGGTACAGAAATGATTGGTTTATGTCTAGTTTATACTTCAATGAAAAAGGCCACTTAGACACACAAAATATTTTCTTCAAGTTCTATTAACTAATGATATAAACAAAAAGGCAAATCTAGGGAGAGTTGTGATTGCAGCTTGTTTTGGTTTTAAAAAGTTTTTATCTTCTGCAGTAATAAAACAAAAAGCTAATCTTTTTAGTGGGTGCAGTTTGATTGCTTTCATGGTTCATTGATTTCTTGGGTCAAAAACTCTCGTTATCCAGGATGTATATTCTATATCACATACTATGATACTCTGAACGATATCTGTGTTTGATAATTTTGTACTGTATCTAGAATAGTCTGTATTATTTCCAATTAGACTTACAAATAGCGACATGCATATAACATAAAATTTACCATCTTAACCATTTTAAAATGTGCAGTTCATCAGTTAGAATTTTACCGTTTTTCAGACCGTTTTTCCTAGAAACATTGATTTTTAAAAATCAATATAGTAAATATTGTGTGGGAGGAAGTCATGAAGGAACTGTTCAGTTTCTGCTGTAGAATCTGAAAATGCTCAGAACATGGGGCCATTAGGCACTTCAGCAAAGGCTAGGCATGGGAAAGAGCGGAAAACAGAGGGAATGGTCGAGAATTAGGGCAAGTAGTCTGGAGTTGCTTCTTGACTTTCGCAAGTGGGGCTTCCCACCCCCTCCCACTCCAGCACAAAACACATTTCCTCTCTGAGAGATTTGCAGTTCCCAGGCAGGGGAGATGCAGCACGGAAACAGAGCTAAGTGGAAGTCTCCAGACTGACAAGTGAGACCTCTCCAGTTCCTGTTCTCTACTGGGCTCCTCGGATGTTGGCAGCCAGGCTTCAACCCCGTAGTTAGGAAATTCTTCTCGGTAAAAATGACCCCAAAGAAAAGATCTAAGTCAGTGGCACTTAATGGTCCTTTAATGGAAACACCAGCTTGCTGCCATGTCATCCTTAAATGAAGTTCTGTGGACAAGCCAGCCCATTCAGGGAGTTTCCACTGAGCTCTGTAAAGCCTTACTTAGTATGAATATTAACCTAAGAGTCATCAGACATTTGGAGAGTCTCCAGTGTGAAGACAGACACCAAAACACACACAGAGAAACAGAAACCCAGAGAAACAGAATTTAGCATAGGGACGAGAAAAAAACTTCAATTAGAAACTATAATTAGGCTGGGCATAGTGGCTTGCGCCTGTAACCCCAACACTTTGGGAGGCCAAGGTGGGAGGATTGTTTGAGCCCAGGAGTTTGAGACCACCCTGGGCTATATAGTGAGACCTCGTCTCTGGAAAAAAATGAAAAAAAAATTAACCAGGTGTTTTGGTGTGTGCCTGTAGTCCAACCACTTGAGAGGTTGAGGCAGGAGGATCACTTAAGCCCAGGATTTCTAGGCTGTGGTAAGCTGCGATTGTGCCACTGCACTCCAGTCTAGGTGACAGAGTGAGATCCCAGCTCAAAAATAAAAAAATCTGCCTAGTGAATGTAAATAAGCATCACATATGTCTTCTGTAAGGAGCACGCACCTACGATTCCAGTCCTGTCATGTAAGGAAAATCACCTCTGACAGTCTTATTTTCAGTTTGCCTCCGACTCAGCAATTCTTGCCATGTCTCCCGCTGTCGGAAGCTGCTTGCCTTTCATCAGGGTGTTCTCCTTCCTGGCATGACCTCTCCTCACCTGTTCCTTCAGGAAACTTAGCGTGCCAAATTTGTGGTGTCACCTTTATTTCCATGGTTACAGACCACAGTTCTGTGAACACAAGATTGGAATTTACAGCAGAAGCTCGGCTATGAGGAGGGACAGTCTGCATCCTAAAGTAAATGCTTGATTGATTAGCTCAGGGAACAGAAAGAATGAGAAACAAAGCAGATCACATGCTGTTTCTTTGCACTGGTCTTCACAAACCTTCCTTCTTGGCAGTCAGCCAAAAGATGACCTCCTTCCACACCCCTGATTCTTAAACAGTATAACATGGACAGTCCTTGAATCCATGAAGGACCTTAAGTATTTCCAAATCATTTTGTCTGATGTTGGATCTGTTAGATGATAGCTCAGTTCAAAGATGTACAGTTGTCCCTCACTACCTTCTGGGGATTGCTCCAGGACCTCTGCAGAGACCAAAGTTCGCAGGAGCTCGAGTCCTTGATGTAACATGGTGTAGTGCTTGCATATGACCTATGCACATCTTCTGCATACTTCAGATCATCTCTAGATTACTTGTAATACTAATACGATGTAAGTGCTATGTCAGTAGTTGTTACAGTATATTGCTTCTTTAAAGTTGTATTTTTTTCTTGTATTATTCTTTTTTAATTTTAATATTTTCCATGCACACTGGTTGAATCTGCAGACACATAACCAACCCATGGATAGGAGAGCCAACTTTGATTTATATTTGTGTTGTCTGCTTACTATGGGACCAGGCAGATTTTGCAAGGACTTGTTTGTTTTGTTTTTGGTGATCACACTGAGCATAAGAGTTGTTCGAATACTTGGGTCATTGCAGAGTAAGAGTTATAAATGCTTGATGATGTTTGACACATCACACAAGTTGAAGTACTTGTGTCATGTCTGCATACATTTGGAGGCAGTTTTGACACTTCTCCCTAGATTTCCAGATTTTCTCTTCTGTCATTGGATTGTATAATTATAGCCACATACTCTGCTCTCCCCACTGGGTCATGAAGCTCTTTTTTGTTTAAAGAGCAAGTGGTGTTTTAGTGTATGATTTTTGAGGAAAAAAAGTACATCTGGGGGAAATACTAGTTAAATACCAGGTAGTGTGCTGTATACACTTTCATATTCAGTATGTAATGTTATTCTAGGGCTATAATCAGCCTTTGACCTGTGAGGTGGTTTTAATTTTTGTGAACACAAAGTGAGAAACCTTAAAATAATTTATGCCAAAAATTACTTTGGGGGGGTCATAAAAATTAAACTCTACTCTTCTCTGTTGTTTTTATGAACTAATTAGCATTGCTGTAGATATATAGATTTCAGTAAGACATTTGACAAAAGTCTTTCCTTGTCAACAAGGAAATTTGTAGGTTGATAGATCAAACAGTTAATAAGACTCATAGCTATTTACAAACTCTTGGAGAGAGATCGATAGTGGTGTGTCGCGGGGTTTCTGTCCTTGTCCCTGGCCTGTTTGTGAAGGATATTGAGTATTTGAATAATCACTTAGAGGACATGTTTATTCAATGGTGGATGAGAAAGCTAAGAAGAATAACTAAAAAGCAGATATCAACTAAGGATTTTAGAAGATCACAGACTGGCCAGGCTCGGTGGCTCAGCCTGTAATCCCAGCACTTTGGGAGGCCGAGGTGGGTGGATTGCCTGAGCCTGTGGGTTTGAGACCCACCCGGGCAACTTGGTGAGACCTCATCTCTACAATAAATCAAAAAAATTAGCTGGGCATGGTAGCTTGCACCTGTAGTTCTAGCTACTTGGAAGGCTGAGGTGGAAGGATCACCGGAGCCCAGCAGGTCGAGGCTGTGGTGGCCGGGAGTGTGCCACTGCACTCCAATCTGGGCGACAGAGTGAGACTCCAACTCAAAAAAAAAAATCACTTGAATTTTGTGAGATCTGGAGGAGTGAGCTGCGTGTATTGTAGCTGTCTAAAAAAAAAGCCAAGGTGTTTACAGATGCCAGAGGTACAGAACAATGGTGGTGTGATAACTGCTTCTGCTGAATTCTGCAAGAAAGGCTAGGTCATGTTTGGAATGTTGTACTCAGTTTTTACTGAAATAGTAAAATTTTTATCATGTGGTATTTGGTACATACAAAGGAATGCTCAAAATATAAGTTACAAAGTTAAGTAATAAAATGAATATAAGCCTCATTCCCAGATTAAGAACCAGAACATTCTCAAGGCCATTGAATCTGTATTTTCCTCCCCTACCCTAGAAGTAACCATTATCCTGCATTTAAATATGTGTTTCCTTGCTTTTTCAAAAACAATTCTACCATGTTATGTGCGTATTCCCAAGCATTTAATTTTTTTACTTCTTTTTGAATCTTATTAAAATGGTATTTATTACACTGTACTTACTTTATGCCACTTGTTTTTTGCATTCAGCATTGTTTCTAAAATTCGTATGTATTGACCTTTCTCAACCAGAGTTTCTCATCTTGACCGTAGAACACAAAAAATAATGAGTGGCTATTTTCTCACTTCTCCCAAGGGTGATACCTAAGTAATCATCCCTAAATTTCTGATGCGGAGGAGAGAAGTTATCTCATTACCTACAATGGATGCTGTAGACTGGGCAGTTAGAGCTTAATTCTCTATTGGGATCTGGTTGAGACAGGCTGAACTGTTACATGCTGCTATAGTTCATTTTACGGCTGTAAAATACTCATTTGTGAGCACACTGAAGCTTTTTTGAATATTCTCCTTTGAATGGAAATTTGAGCGGTCCCCAGTTGTTTTGTTTTACTATTGTGAACAATGCTGTGGTGAACATTCTTGCACATATCTCCAAGTGCACACGAATAAGCACTTCTCTAGTATACATCTGACTGAAATTGCTGGGGACGGCTGCGTTTTAAAGGAGACATGGGCGGAGTAAAGTGAGGCTGGAGGAGGGCAATTAAGAGCAGTTCAGCATGTCACAGCTGACCTCTGTTCTCTTTATTTTCTCAGGGATTGAAGAGGTTAATGACCATTTGCCAGAAGCACTTTCCTACAGACCCATCGAAATGTGTGGAGTACAATGCACTGTGAGACCTGTGTGTGGTGTGTATGTAGCAACGAGAAGCTCTCGAAGGGGTCACGGACTTGTGGAACTTCCAGCAGGGCTGAAGGGAGAGGAGAGCTGGAGCGTCCGTCTCTGAGTTCTACCTGATGTGACTCTTGACTGGTTCCAGAACTGTTTTGGCTTCGTACCACATCTAACTGCAAATTGATTTGTGCCTGGCTTTCATTTAATAGTTGAAAAATTAAGTTCTGAAGACTTGGCCTCACAGTGTAATGTGTGGGCAATGGAAGGGAGTTTAAAATGACCTTTCCCCAATAGGCCTAAAAGTTGCAGCTGGATGATTTAAAAGAAACATTTGAGGGCGGGCTTAATTATTTCAGTAAAATATGCTAATTTGCATATTGTCTTTTATGTAGTGTTTATACAAAATATTTTTATATATTTCAACTGAAATATGGGACATTGAATGAAACTTGATAGTCCTTGAATGTTGCTGAACCTTTTGCCGTCTTGCAATAGAATTAGAACGTAAATGTTATTACTGTTAATGCAAACGTTATTTTTCTTGTATTTCAAAGCTTCCTTTTATCTTCTAAGGAGTGCAGATTTTCATATTTGTCATTTCTCAGGACAGATAGAATTAACAGGAAATCGAAGCTTGAAAAAACAAAGATGGCATATCATGCCAACATAAATTAAAAAAAAAAAAGCCACTCCAGCACGTCAAGGTTCAAGGTGGGGCAACGTGCCGTGAAGCCAGCAAGCGTGGGGAAATCGTGATGATGGTGGTAGGCCCGCGGTGGGCAGCGGGCTGTGTTCCCAGCCACACCCTGCCCAGCACAGGAGGAGGATGTCACTGCCCAGGGTGGTGTCCTGGGCTCTGGTCTTCCGCAAAGTGAGAACTTGTTCCAGATCTTGCACAGTATCACACTCGGATCATTGTGACCAATCCTCATGCTTTGGAACTTGAGAGGACTGACTCCCAAGAGTGCTGTGGGGAAGCAGGCTGTGACCTGACCAGGCGGGGTGGCAGTGCTGGTGAGAGTGGGAGCTCCAGAGGCAACTTTCTGGCTTCCGATTTCAGCTCTGCCATAGCTGTGACCTTGGGCACGTGGCAGTCTTTCCAAGCCTCTGCTTCCTCATCGTAAAATGGGAGAGGTAATAATACTACATGCCTCATGGTGTTATTGTCGTGTTCAAGTAAAATAGATGGCTTAGCATACCGCCTGGCAAATAAGAGCGCAGGATTTCTTTGTAGTTGTGTCATTGTTGGTACAAGAGAGTAGCCCTGTGGTTGGTTAGGGTGGTGTGTACTCACTTGATGATAATGTGATGATGTGGTGGCAGCAACAGCAGTAATCATGGAAACACTGATTAAGCTTTTACTCTACCTGGGCTGCTCCTACTTCCAGCCAGGTCTGTGTTCTGAAGCGCCGAGGACGTGGTAGGAGCGAGAGGCTGCTGAGGAGGTCGACTCACAGTGGCTTCTGCTGGACCCTCTGGGAGGCCTCGAAAGCCGATTCTGACCACCTGTGGTTCTTGACTGCACACGGAATGGATCGTTTCTGCTGGGTATTTTCCTGGCGGTGGCTGAGGCTCACTGTCCTGAACTGAATCGGTGTCTACTTTGTAAACCTTTTCTTATGATTAAATTAGTTAGAGCTAAGGAAACTTACCAGCACAAATGAGGGATGGACTTCCATAAGATATGGTGACGGTCTAGACTTTGTCATGTGGTCTTATATGAGACTTGTTTATAAATACTGAGTGAATATTTCCCACGTTACATTTTCTTTATTCACAATCAGCCCATAGCTTGGTAGTCAGTTCATTGCTTGCTGTCTTCCATTTTGCTGTTAGTTAATATTTTACATAAAGAAGAAACTGTGTCATGTGGCACCAATACCTGCTAAAATTGATCAGCATAGTTAAATGGTTTGGGGGGAAAAATGGACACTCTACAGGGCTTTGACTATGAGCCATTTGGGCTGGTGTGGAGGGAAGCAGGTTTAAAGATGTGGATTCCCTCAAGGAAGTTTTCCTTTCCCCTGAAATTAAAGGTCTTCAGATGACTGCAGATACCATGAGGATATGTAGAAAAATGACCGTGCCTATTCTCCAAATCATGAAAAGTTTGGTTCTGCAAATATTACGTATTTATGTTTGTAAAACAATAAAGACACGCCTTTTAAAAATCAATTGCAGTTCTGAAATAAATATATTCCTTCTTCTCCATCTCCCACAAGAGTTGTGCCTTTTTGGATTCAAATTTAGTACAACACTGGTTTTCCCTCAGAAGTAAATAATGCATTTCCTAGGAGTGTCATTGCCAACTGCAAAGACAGAGCAGTATTTTTCAGTGTTGCAATACGCATCTGCTGTAGCCGGGAAGTCATGGCTGTGATTTCAGTCTCGGGGGCGAAATTAGGAAAATAAAACTGAGGCCAACAAAGCTGACATGCAGAGAGAGACAGAGGACAGTCCGGATCTCGTAGGAAGAAGGGAGAGGTCCTGAGAGGCTGGAGCTAGGCCGGCAGCTGTCACTAAGAACAGGATTTAGTGATTGGCTCTGGGCTCAGAATGCTCAGGGAGAATTTGGAGGACCGGGAAATAGGATTGATAGCAGTATGACTTTTCATGTTAAGCTCTTCCTTCTGGTGACTTCCTGACCTGTTCTACCACTGCAGAGTGCCCCAAGGTTTGATCTCAGTAAATAATTTAGAAATGCAACCGCCTTTCTGTTGGAAAGAAAGTAATTTATTCTGAAAGCAAACTACTTGGAAAGACTAAGAAAAGTGTTTCCAAGTTTGGGTGGATTTGAACTTGGGGATTCATATCACTGGCTCCTTTTCAGCCACACGGTGTCCTCCGTGAATGCGTCTTAACGTAGAAGGTAGTGGTGTCATTGAAAGGGATCATTACGTTGAGATGTGGCTGTTTCTTTTGTCCAAACATTTTGAAGAGCACCACTTAGTGAGAAGCACCTCCTCCCTCCCCCAGTATACGCCCCCGAAGCCCCTGTGAGAATAACTTTATCCCCTAGAAATGTGTGGTATGGAATCATATTGGGAGTCTGGAGCCGACAAGCACTTTCTCACGGCATATTGATGTAAGAGCTTCCAGCTGTCTAGAGCGCAGGAGCCAGCGCCTGTCCCCAGAGGGTTGCTATGGGAACAGTGTTATAGCAACTGGTTTTCATCACAGACTCTGCAGTTCCATTGGCTGAACGATAGCCACATGCTGGCCTTTTAATGGTTAACAGTAACCTTAAAAATCTTGGGAAATTTAAAAATAAGTCCGGGTGCTGTGGACTTGCTGGGGGAATACGGGGTAGCCATCAGCCACAGCTGTGGGGTGGGCCAACCCCATTCGGGGTTTTAGAGCCACACGTGTAACAAAGGATTTTTTTCCCCTTGTTTGCCAAAACAGTCTGTTTTGAAAGCAGTGGTTATTTTCTGCCATTGTAGACTCTAGGGTACTTTTACACAACTTAATTAAACTAAGCCTCATACTGCCCTTCATGGCCACTCTAATTAGGCCACTGACTGTTGTTGAATGCCTTGTCTGTTCTTAAGCACCAGCTTTCTCAGCCTTTCCTTACAGCCTTCAAGCTTAACCCATGCTTTTGTCACAAACGGCAGCTGAGAAGTTTCAAACTCCTCTTTGAGCGTTATTGGGGGTCTGAGACACATTGACTGACCTGGTCATGACAGTTAAGGGTCGCTCCCATCATCTGCGCTCCTGGCCTTTCTGAGCTCCCAGTTTGACAGCTTGCCAAAGCCAAATTGCCTTCACTCTCCAACTGCTCTTCCTTTCAGTCTCAGGAGACATTAGGACCCGTGAGTGTTGGGGGCTGAGCCTGGCTTTCTGAGTTTGTGCCATTCTGGGAGACAGGAGAGTTACAGCTGTGGAGTTGGAAACTTGTGAAGTGCAACTCACAGCAAACCAATGTGTGGAGCCCCGGTAGTACATATACACATGCGCATTTAACTGCAACAAAAGCACTTTGCCATACCATGTAGATCTGTTGTGCTTCTTTTAAAGACAGTTTGGTTGTTACTCCCTAAATTGGTTTATAACCCATTAATGCATGGTGACTAATAGTTTGAAAACCACTGATAAAAAGAAATATAGGGGCCAAGCACAGTGATTCAACGTCTGTAATCCCAGCACTTTGGGAGGCCAAGGTGGGAGGATCCATCCCTTGAGGATGAGAATTCAAGGCCAGTCTGAGCAACATAACAAGACCCCATCTCTATAAAAAATAAAAAATAGCCGGGCTCGGTGACTCAGCCTGTAATCCTGTGCTTTGGGAGCCTGTGGGTTCGAGACCCGCCCGGGCACCTCATCTCCACAATAAATCAAAAATTAGCCGGGCGTGGTAGCATGCGCCTGTAGTTCCAGCTACTTGGAAGGCTGAGGCGGAAGGATCGCTGGAGCCCAGCAGGTCAAGGCTCCCGGCCACTGCACTCCAGTCTGGGTGACAGAGTGAGACTCCAACTCAAAAAAAAAAAATAGCCAGGCATGGTGGTGCACACCTGTGATCCCAGCTACTTGGGAAACTGAGATAGGATGATTGCTTGAGCCCTGGAGTTTGAGGCTGCAATGAGCTATCATGGTGCCACTCCAGCCTGGCTGACAGAGACAGACTCTGCCTCTTGGAAAAAAAAAAAATTACCTGCAGGGTTAAGGAAGAAAATGACCCATGACATGAATTCAGTGAAAAAGCACTACCTGTTTTTTATTTTTTTAATACAGAGATGACAATTGGCTCTCAAGGTTAGTATGAAATTTAGCAGAGTATAAAATCTCAAGTACTTCAAATGCTCAGTCCTTCTGAAGCAACATGTAACTTGAGTTTAAAATGATGAGACTTGTCCCTCAAGAGTGAGAAAACCAAGACTAGCAATTTCTATGCCATCTGTAAGAAAATTGGTAGCATGCACAGGTGACTACCTTGGGCTGGCTGCACATTGTTGGATAAAGTAAGATTAAACAAAGTATTAGAAAATAAATGGGAGGGTGGTTAAAGTCGGAGGTAGGGCCAAGACAAACTGAATTTGCTTGGTTAACAAGTGTCCCAATAAATTACTTTGTGCACCAAAAAAAGAAAAGAAAATTACTTCCCAAGACTTAGCACTAGATTATGTTCCTTTAATGTAAATTTTTATTGGCAGTATAGCATATATACAGAAAATCCTAAGAGTGCCACGTCATAGCAGATTTTTCACAGCATGGACATCTCCCAAAGTACTTAGCACCCTAGTCAGAAAAGGTTATGTTACTAACACCCCAGAAAACCTCTTCATGCTCCCAGTCATAGCCGTGGTCACAGCTGTGGTCATAATTTTTGGTCCTGATTTCTAATATTATTTCTTTTGAGTTGAAGTCTCATTCTGTTAACCCAGGCTGGCGTGCGGAGGCACAATCACGGCTCACTGCAGCCTCAACCTCCTAGTCTCAGAGCAATCCTTTGGCCTCAGCCTCCAGAGTCACTGGCACTACAAGCACATGTCACTATGGCCTGGGTAATTTTTAAATTTTTTGTAGAGACAAGGTCTTGCTATGTTGTCTAGGCTGAGCTTCATGATTTTTAACATTTTTATTGATTTATAATTCACATGCCGTAAGTTTTGCCCATTTAAAGCATACAGTGGTTTTTAGTATATTCAGAGTTGTTCAAACTATCACCACAGTCTTAAGATTAGAACATTTTCATCACTCCAGAAAAGCCCCGTTCCCAGTAGTACTGCCTACATAGGTTTGAAACTTATTTATAAATGGAATCAAGCAGTATGTACTTGACGACTTTTGTTTGATTTCTTTGGCTGAGCTTAGGGTTTCTGATACTCATCCCTGTTGTGCGTAGTTGTGGTTCATTCATTGTTATTGTTGTATCTCACAGTTTATCCATCCTCCTGTTGACAGACATGTGAGTTGTTTCCGTTTTTTGTTGTTTTTGAGTTGAAGTCTCTCTCTGTGACCCAGGCTGGAGTACAGTGGCACGATCACACCTCATGGCAACCTTGAACTCCTGGGCTCCAGTGATCTTCCTGCCTCAGCTTCCCATGTACCTGGGACAACAGGCATGTGCTCCCATGCCCAGCTAATTTTTTCATTTTTTGTAAAGACAAGGTCGCACTATGTTGCCTAGGCTGGTCTTGAACTCCTGGGCTCAAGTGACCTTCCTGCCTCAGCCTCCTCAAGTGCTAGGATTACAGTCATGAACCACCATACCTGACCTGTCTCCACTTTTTGTGCGGATATTTTGTATGTGTTTCTTGGCAAGTATAGATTTCTGCAGAGTATGTACTAAGGTGTGAAATTTCTGGGACAAAGGGTACGAATAAACTCAGCTATAGAAGATGCTGTCAAAGATTTTACCAAAGGGAGTGTACCACATTACACTCACACACAAGACTTGAGAGCTTCAGGTGCTCTACCTCCTGGCCTCTCTTGACATATCCTCTGCCATTTTCATCTTAGCCCTTCTGGTGGTTATATGGGTATCACGTGGTGGCTTTAATTGGTATTTACCTGATGACTAATAAAATCGAGCACGCTTTTCATGGGTTTAGTGGCTATTTGGATATTATCTTTTTTGAAGTTCCTGTTCATAACTGATTTTTGTCCATTCATTCCTGGTGAATTGCCTACCTTCTTACTGACTATATATCATGCCCTTTATATAGTCTGGCTAGATATGTACGCATTGCAGATACTCTTCCCATTCTGTGGCTTGCCTTTGAGCTAGGTTACTTTTTATTCGGTAGAGAAATAATCTTATGGCTGAGTTTATTCATATATGGACATAACCTTTGTCAGCTATCTTTGCCAGATAGATTTTATAAAAATCAAATCATGTGTCCAGCTTAAATAACATAATTTTTCCTCATTTAATGATGTCATCACAGTAGCATGCCTGAGTGTAGAATTTGAGGGGAGAGGAAATTATGTGAATTTTTGTCCTTTTGGTTGAACTTTAGTTGTAGTTAATTACTATTTCATTTACGATGTGGCTGTTTCTGCTTTGCTTCTTTTGGCATACAAGTTTATCTGCCATATATGTGTGATGTGGACACTTCTAGCTGCTTACCCAGTTTTCATTTTCTTCTTTGCTAATAGCCCCTGGATTGTTTAGAGCTGCAGTGTGCACAGACACAGCTACTTGCCTTCCCAGGACCTTCTGTCGCTGTAGTTGGTCACGTGGCATGACTCTGCCCGTGTGATA